GGGGGGGGGGATAAAAAATATATTTTTTAGTGTTTTTTATATTTTCTTATTTATTTTTTTAGTAATATGGGGGGAACAAGCTCGAAAAGATTTGATCAACTTAATCAACCTACGTAACTCATGAACACCACCAAGAACCCGAAACAAAACAAAAAGAGATCAAACACACAAGACCAACATTAAACATATCAATCATGCTAGGGATACATTAAAAAGTGAACCCTAAGTTTTACCCCAAGGAAATGCATCAGCATTTTAATGGTTTACATTGGCACAAAATATTAGTTCAATTAAAAAAAATTTACACTCACATATTTTGTCAATGTAAATCACCACACTAGCATCACATTAATACAAAATGCCAGTGTATGTCTTTGGGGTAGAAAATAAGGTACAAATTTTGGTGTACAAATACCTTGATCTTTAACATATAATAGGCACATAGACAATATGTTACGTAACTTACACGCATAAGAATTGAAATAATCAATCAAAGGCCAAGTCGACTCATGTCCTTAACCACGATATGGAGGATTGTCAACTCTCCACATGGCCCAAAGTCACGCAATTCAAAGACCCGTTTTGAAATATACTTTTGAACTCCAACTCTCTATTCAAGCATGAAAACATACTGCCACTATTGAAAAAGTTTATAAAAGAGGAAATCTATTATGCATTCAACTCTCATACATAATCTAATCACAAATCCACCAATAAATTATGCAATTTAATAAACATTAACTCCTAATGATGAACACATTTCACAGATTTCCATGAACTTCTCAAACCTATGACATTTTTTCTATTCACATAAAAGAACACAACACATATTTTTAATAAATCGAGATTTATTTTTTAGCTTAAACAACCTCAAGTTTATGAAAATGACAAACAAGCTAATTAACGAAGACATAACAATCGCACAATAACAAATTCTAAGGAAAATAAATCAACTTATGGGGCTAAAAAGTCCATGAACCTTAAAATCAACAAACACAAATCATAAGAAATCATCACGTATGAATTCAAAGATCATTTAACGACCTTATGGAGCTAAAATAACTTCAACAAAAACTGAATTACTGTTACACCCAAGCCCGCGTAACCCGAACCAACAAGTTAGCGAATCGGATTGTTACTAATTTTGTACTCACATGCACAATATTTTAAAAATATTTAAAATAAAACATTCATTCATAATAATTTATAATAAATATAAGTTAATCAGAGTAAATAAAATACACATTGCGGAAGCCTTTAAAACAACATTATCAAAACATTCTTGTAGTTCAACCAAATGAAGTCAACAAAGCATTTAATTCAATTTCAAACAACTTCAGGCCAACCACCAGTGTCACGCCTCAGTGTTCTCCAGATTGCTCGTCCAACCCCTGATCCCTACCTATACGTAATATTGAGCATGGAAGAATCTAACGCAAGAACAAATTCATATACTAGCAAGCATTAATTTATAATCACATAATATCTGAAGATTTAGCAAATATCATTATTCAACTGTAAGATTAATCATCCTTTTATTCCGTTCATATCTTGCACATACTTTACTTCATTTGCCTACTAGGCTTAATCCACATCATTCCTATGGGAGTTGTGAAATCCAGGCTCTCATATGAATCCACACTCAAACTCCCAAAGTTCTTAGAATGGAGGGGGTTGAGGCACCTGCTAGCTCTCAACAAGGGTCAGTGACCTCCGCACATATGTTTTTGACCCTCGAGACCATCAAGTGTGCGACGACACCCACATGACCTTATTTTCTAATCTCAATCATATAAGTAATTCCAACACTCAATTCAATTCAAATCCGTCCAAATCTACTAGGTGGCCTATTTCCCAATTCCAATTTAATACACAATATCACTTAAATCTTTAAAACATACTCCGTACTTTGATTGAATTCCATCTAGCAATTGAACCCGTATGGAAGTTAACCACTTTAGCCACACTATCCAGCAGAACGGACAATAGCCACAACAGCTTTCTCTCTCGCAGAACCACTTCAGCAATGGTGACTTCGTGCAACAACCTTCGTCAGCAACTTCGGCGGACATCAGCAGCATCCGCCGGCTGCCAACATCAAATGGGACACAGGGCGGCGAGTAGTCCCCTTGGCAGAACTCAGAAACGTGAGCCAGCGAAGAGGAGAAAACAGAACGAGCAACGAAGAAAAATGGAAGAGCAGAATAAAGAGAGGGGAAACAGAGCAGAGTGACAATAGAAGGCGAAATTACAATTTCAAGTTCCAAATCCAAATCTCCCAAATCCATATCAATTCCAACATAATCAATCACGCAATTCAACAATCATAATCACAAATTCATCATCAATTGGATGAGAGTATATTAACATATACGAATCAATTCTAACGAGAGATAAACCACAATTCACCTCAATTTAATTGACGAATAAATCACAAATTAAGGTGACCTAGGGCTTTGCCGTCGTCGAACCATCTCGGACAAGCTTCCTCCGATTTTGGTTTGTCGCCCACGAAGAGGAGGATGACGAAGAAGAAGACAAACGACCATTCTTTTTAAGAAGCAAGGCACACCTCGTTATAATTAGCACTGTGTTGGGAAAACTGAAAATTGCAAACCAAACCAAAACCAATCGAACTGAGCTAGAAAAAAACTGAACAAAAAAAAACCGAAATCGATTGTAAAAAAACCAAATTGAACCGTTATTGTTTGGTTTCCGTTTTGGTTTTCACTTTGAAAAATCATACCGAACTGAATAAACCGAACTTTCATAGGTACTTTACTATATTTAGGGCATGTTCTTTAGGACTGGAAAAAAAGAGCTGGATGTTGAAAAAACTGCAAGAAACTGGAAGAAATTGGAAAAACTAAAAAAAATTAAAAGAAACTGAAAAAACTAGAAAAAATAGAAAAATCTAAAAAAAAGTTTTAAAATTTTTTTTATGTGTGATTTTATATTATTCTCATTCTAATTCTTGTTATTATTATTATTGTTGTTGTTGTTGTTGGTGGTGGTGGTGGTGGTGGTGTTATCACGTTATCTTAATGATTGTCTTTAAGATTAAAAAATATTACGAGTATTATTTTTCATATATAAAAAGCTAGTATAAAAAAATAATTAAAAAATAAAATTAGCATAAATATTACACTTCTTGGGTCATTTTTTCTTTTTCAAAATGTAGTTTTCTCTTGGTTTTCATAATGTAGTACTCCCCACCACATTCCATACTTTATATTTAAGATTAAAATATTAATGTTTACCTTATATAAATTTAGATTAAAAAAATATTCTATAAAACCATTTATCCAAAATTTTATAAATAGTTTCCTAATTTTTCATGTAGATTAATATGCAAAAAAATGGTATTATTCATATTAAAAAGTTGAAGAAAAAATAATCATGAATGTGAATCATAAAAATAGTGAGCTGAAAAAATAAAATAATTTATAAACTATAGTTATGAACATAAAAGTTGTAATTAAAAAAAGTTGTAATAATAATAATAATAATAATAATAATAATAAAAAAATAATAATAATAATAATATGTTTTTTTAGAGTGATTTGTAAGAAAGTAGAAAGAATTTAAAGAAAATAAATATAGTTGGACAAAATTAAAAGAAGGGAGAAGGAGCCCAATAGGAGTAAACAATGACAAAAGCCCAAAATAGGAGTGAGAAGATTAAATCCCCCAAATAGGAGTCGCTGTTAGCCTGTCTTCGTTACCAGTAGCCGTCAAAGCCAATCGAATTACCCCGTTAGCCATCATTGGTTCTTCGATCAGAGCGCCAAATAGAAAAACCAGATAAATTCACAATTCCTCTACTTCACAATTTAATTGCTTCCCAATTCACCTACTTTGCATTGTATCTTAATCGGAGAAGATGACGGACGAAGAGGACACTCGATCGGATGAAATTGCTGATGAAGATAAGCGACCTGCAACAAAGCAAATGGCGAAGCGACTGAAGGTACTGAATTTTAGTTTCCGACCTGCGACAATTGCATTGTGACCTAGTTTTGTTGTTCAATTGAGTTTTTCCAGTACATGCATGGTCTTGTTGTGAGGGATTGCATTGCGAACTAGTTTTGTTTTTCAATTGCGTTTTTCAAGTTTGTGCATGGTGATGTTGTGAGGGATTGCATTGTGACTTATTTTCATTGTTCAATTGCGTTTTTTCCAGTAGACCAATGGTCTTGTTGTGAGGGATTGCATTGTGACCTAGTTTTGTTGTTCAATTGAGTTTTCCTAGTAAACCTAAGGTCATGTTGTGAGAGATTGCATTGTGACTTATTTTTGTTGTTCAATTGCGTTTTTTCCAGTAGACCAATGGTCTTGTTATGAGGGATTGCATTGTGACCTAGTTTTGTTGTTGAACTGCGTTTTTCCAGTAGACCTATGGTCTTGTTATCAGTGATTGCATTGTGACTTATTTTTGTTTTAAACAACCTTTTAATATACAGGTATCACGTAAATTTGTGAAGAAAGGTGATACATCACAGAGTAAAGATGGAGGAATTAACACTTATTGTAATGTGCTTGAGACCGTACGTAGAATTAAAGGCGTGTTGAGAAAGGAGGAGCTTGAAGTCTTTAGAGGCACGGTTTTTGGAAAACTGTTGGATGTTCCTGAAGTTAGATGGATTAGTAATGGGCTCTTAGTTGGTCTGTTAGAAAGGTACAAGTTACCAAAGCAAGGAATAACTGGATGTAAAGAAATGAAGTTCAAAATAAAGGGGAGAAAAGTCTTGTTCACAAAGCCAGAGTTTGAACTTATTGCAGGACTGGGAAGCGGAGGGATTAGGATAACTTTGAATGATGAAAGGTTGGGTGACTTCGGGTTAAGGTATTTCAATACGGGAAAATCTATTCAGCGATGTCATATTACGGATGCACTGCTGCAACACAACAAAGATGACCTTGGAGTAGAAACTGATGATGTTGTAAAGCTAGCATTGTTGCATCTGTTGGGCAATGTTATGTTTGGGCACCAGTCATGTGTTAGTTTTCCTATTGGATACATTAACCTAGTAGATGATTTGGATGCATTCGATAAATTCCCATGGGGTGAAGTCATATGGGAAGAGTTGTTAACACATGTTGGGAGATGTGCACAATCCCTTAAAGCTCGTGAAAGGGGAAGAGTGATGTTTGGAGGGTTTGTCTTTGCCTTACAGGTATGGGCATTTGAGAAATTTTCTTCCTTGAGAGAGTCGGGGCATTGTCAAATTGTAAAAGGAAGAGAAGATTGGATTCCACGTTGCCTAAGGTGGGAGATTTATGCAAAGATTTCAGCACAGTTTCTTCATGAAGCCATATTTGAAAATCCAGAGGTTCGTATTCTATGAAATTCTCTTTTAATGAGAATATGTAGTAAATCTGGATTATATTAATATTTTTTTTATTGTTTTACATAGTTTGAAGTGTCAAAGATTGTTCCAAGTGAGAGGGAGTTAAATGATCCTTCATTGGCATTATTTGCTAGTGAATACATAAGAAGGGGGATAGATGACACTGTGCAACATATTGAGAGCTCAGAAAAGGCTGCAACTGTAGCAAGAAATCTGAGTGTTGGTAGTGCTAAGAAAAGGAAACTTTAAACAACTGGAAATGCCCAAAACAAGCCAAAAGAGAAGAGAAAGAGAATTAGTCACTGCATGAAAGGGGAATTTCTTCCAAAAAGAAAATCAAAGAGGAAGAAGGAGAGTCAGAGTCAGATTATAACAATTCTCAATGACATGAAAAAAATGCAGGAAAGCCAAGGGAAAGTGCTGAAGATGATCCTTGAGCAGTTAGAAAGACAAAAGGGAGATGATACAGAGGAGAGGGGTTTTAAAAAGATAGATGATGAAATTGTCAATGAGAATGTTGAGAGTGAAGACATGGAAAATAAAAACATGGGGAATGATACTATTTTGGAAGAAGATGGCACTGACCATGGAGATGTGGGAAAGGATGGCACTTCCAGACATGATGACAATGATCTTGGTCATGTTGACACCACAGTCATTAATGAGGGAGATGATAAAATCAAACAAGGTATGAGAGATGAAAGAAGCATTGAGACTTTGCCTAAGTTTTCTGAAACACAGTTCAGTGATTAGTTCTTTGAACAAATGGAAAAAGAAGTGAATGCTATTTTGAAAGGCACAATTGAAGGAAATGTAAGACCATTTACTTTTGTATTAAATAAGATAGTATATTGTGAATATGTGAAACTGTGTTATCATTATTATTGTCGTGCAGATCTTTGAGAAGGAAGTTGGATCTGATATGGAGCCCGCGGCAAATGCAAATTTCGAGAAAGTGCAGATGGATTCTACAATTGATGAACAAGGAATCACTGTAAGTAAACATTCTTAAAAGAAAATATTGGCTAAGTGGTATAAAGGATTCTGATGATGTGAAAGTGTTAACTCATTAAGAGTATTGTGTTAGATGGCACTGTGCGGTGTGACAGAGTATATAATTGTCTTTGTATCAAGTCAGATTTGGCTGTAAACAGTGTAACTGTTTATATTGTTTTGCAGTTGCCTGAAGAGGGGATGGATATAAAAGGGAAATGTATGGATGTGGATGCTGCAACTAAAGAGCTTGTTGAGCATGTGAAAATGGATACGATAATTGATGCACAACCAATAAGTGTGAGTGAATTACATTGAATGCTATAATGGATAAAAAAGGACCTCATGCCATAAATGGAAACTTAATGTTGCAAATTTGCAGGAATACAATGGAAATGTTGAAAATGAAGCCCCTTGTGTGCTGACACGTAAGAGTAAGAGGCAAACTAAAGAGCCCTAAAAGCTCTCACTTTCCGGGCGAAAGGTGCAAAAGAAGACACAGAAAATGAAGGAAGCTGTGAAGAGCATGTTTGAAGTAACTCTGAGTCAAATGGAAGTCGTGATTGGACCATTCAGCCTGAACCCTAAGGAAATGCCCCCACAAGAAGATATTGATAAACTTAAGACATTCATTGAATGTGGTATGTTGAAGAGGAAGGCCAGAACAGGAGTCAGAAAGATTTATACAAAAGGAGATGAAAACATGACAAAGAAGCCTATCGTACTGGATAAGTTCATAATCAGCAGCAAAACATGGCTTTATGATCTCTTCATGGATCAAGAGTGGCTGGATACACTGGTAAGTTGTTTTTCAAAATAACATTTCCAATTGTAATGACACTGTATGTAGCATTGTCGATAAATACGGACCTGATATTGTTTTCCTATACTCATAACAGCATATGGAGGTTGGCATGTTTTACTTGGAGGTGAAAAGATTCAACTACAAGCTCACACAAACATACTCAACTGTGACACCTTTTTTCCTGGAATGTCTTAAGCAGCATCAAGATGACATTGACAAGAAAATTAAAACCAAAGAAGATGTTGGAAGTGTTTCAAACTTGACAGCTGAAGTGTTTGGTTTTGCAAGAAAGTGTGCTTTCCCATGGGCCCGATCAGATTTTGTATATATGCCACTGAATACTGGGGGGCATTGGGTGCTGCTAGTGTTAGCGGTGGAGTCCAAAATAGTATGGGTTTATAATTCAAAGGTAGGGAGATCTCTTAAAGACATTGCTGAATATAGTACTTGCATCAAATGCCTTCTACCCAAGTTAATGGATTTGTGTGATGTCTACATTAATCATCCTACTGGACCAATGGGAGACAATAAGCTTGATTGAAGGCTGCAGATTTTTGCCCAAAACAGACTAATGCGTAAGTATCAACATATAAAACAAAACATTGTAGTTGAGAGTTTTTTTTGTACATATTTTAAATAGGGTCTCCTAATATATTTCTTGATTTTTGCAGTGGGAGTTGTGGTATGTTTGTGCTTAAAATTGCAGAGTACCTCATTATGGATATGGACATTAGGGACATTCGTACAGATCAGATGGCAGCATATAGGATGAAGATGGCTACAGAGCTAGTTCAATTTGCAGAGTCAAATATGGCTGCAAAGGAGTGACTATAAAACATATTGATGTTATTATCTGTTTTGTGTATTGAGCTGGTTGAAAATTCTATTGCTATATTTGCTTTGAATGATGAAACCTTTGGTGTATGACAACAATGCATATGGTCAGTGATGGTCATTGGCGTATTGCATTGTGACTTAGTTTCATTCTGTACTAGAATTCTGTGTTTGGGTATATGTGCCTTTGTTGTGTTTTGAAGTAATGTGAAAGTGAAATTGTTGAAATTGTGTTGTGTTAAACGTGTTTTTTAAATCAATTCTAGTGAAATAATTTCCTCTTTACACAGCCATCAATGGAAGTATAAAGTGCATATATTTAAATTGTGTAAAAAAAGACAAATAGAGAATAAAACAACCAATACAATGTGTTAAGAAAGACAAATAGAGAATAAAACATAAATTTGAAATTACAAGAGTGCTGTGAAAAAATGACACTCTATGGTGTTAAATGTATTGTTTAAATTTATTACAGGGAAATAAATTCCATTTTATGGAGTCATGTATGGACGTATAAAGTGTAACTCTTGAAATTGTGTAAAAATGTAACAAGTATTTGGCTATTAAATATAAAGCGTGGAGTTCAAGGATAATATTGTTCAACAAAAAGAACATAAAACATTAAATCATCCATATTCGTAATAAGAACATCTCAAATTGAAATACATATAGTCGGAAAGAGATAAAGTAAATGATACTAAACAACTCTTAAGTAAGAGCTGCATCTGCCATTCGAATTGGATTGGTGCATGATTTCATGTTGTGGCCATGAGACTTGCACCTCGAACATCTTTGCTTCACTCTACGTTTGCCATAACGGAACTCCCCTACATAAGGATACCTTTTCTTCTTAGGTCTTTTAGGAGGGCGCTTGTTGCAAGATGGAGGGTCACATTTCCTTGATAGAATCTCTTGAGGAATCACCCATCCAGACACATCACCAATAGGATGAACAATTCCAGCATATGTGCACACCAATGCTTCCAATTTGTAAAAGGTGGAAATAAATTTGTAGCAGGATAACCCAGGGCGTTTACCAATCGCTGCAACAGCATGCACACATACAAATTTATCAAGTTGGAACTCACAACACATGCAAGTCTTTTCCTTTAGGTTGACAATGAATGATCGAGAATCATTATCAGTAACCTCAAACTCATATTAACAGGAGGCATTGACCTACACACCACAGATAATAGTGAGTTAATAATAAGTAATATAGTGCCCAAGAAAAGTACTTTATATTATCAACTGCATTCAAAGAAAGATGAAAAATAAAGGCATGAAGCAGTGAATATTCTACTCTTAAAATAACAGACCTTCATCCGAAATGCATCACGTTGCAATTGAATCAGTTCATTCTCGCGCTTCTTTGGAAGAGGAGTACGTGTGGAACTAGCAATCTCAGCCCTTTCATGGAACCATCGTTGCATCGTACCACGAAGGAATTCAACCAATTTTGCTACAGAATAATCCCGTGCATTTTTATTGACATTGTTCATTGACTCAGCCAAATTTGAAGTCATGGAGGAGTAACGTGATGTTGGACTCTTACATCTAGACCACTTTGCAACTCCAATCTTATCAAGGTATACTCGTATACGTGGATCATCCTCATCCAACATTGAAAGATACTCCTCACACTCTTCAACAGTAGCAACCCGAGAAGCAGCTCTGAACTTCCACTCAATTGATTCTGATTTGCCCTTAAATTTCCCTTTGAGATTGCGCAATATATGTTCAGTACAATAGCAATGAGGAATGGAAGGAAACACCTTATCTACTGCAAACAAGATACCATCATGACGGTCTGAGATGATGCACATGTCACTGCGTTCAATAAGTGAATGTTTCACATTGCTTAAGAACCACAACCAAGACTCATTATTCTCAGCGTCACATATGCCAAATTCTAAAGGGACAATCTGTCGATTAGCATCTTGTGTGCATGCAGTTAGCAGTGTTCCACGAAAGTAAGCCTTCATGAAAGTCCCATCTATAATAAGGATTGGAAAGCAATGAATCCATGCTTGCCTCCACGCACAAAGCGAGAAGAACATATTCTTAAATTTGCCATCTTCGCATGTTGTGAGAGATATAACAGACCCCGGGTTATTTTTCTCAAGCATATAGCACATCACAGACAACAAACGGTACGATTGATCATCTGAACCATAGAGTTTGCTCATCGCTTTTCTTTTAACTACCAAAGCCTTCTTATAAGACATAGTAATCCCATATTCCCTCCTCATGTCGTCCATATGGTCAATAGGTTGGTATGGCTTTTTCGAAGCATCTGCATAACGATGTGCAACCAAGCCTGCTAGAAGGGTAGATGTTGCCTGTCTATGATTGCCTTCACGAAAGTCAACAGGACAGGAATGTTCTGAGTCAAACCTAAGACACAAAAGAGCCCAAATGTTAGATATATATGTGTGTGTGCGTGTGTATATACCTATTCAAGTGAGAGGGTCAAATAAGACTTCAAAATGCAAATATACCTTCTAATTTGGAATAAACTTGCACCACATACACGTACAGCACGAAGGGCCCATTTACAATTAGCATCAACACACACGACATGATAGGATGTCTTTGTTGAAGTTACAGTTCTGAACTGGAAGTTATTAACAATGGAAAACATTTGCAAATGATGCTCAAGGTCCATCTTTGACTTGTATATGCAATCCATGCGAATAGTTGTTGGATGGTAATGAGAAATAACAACATTAGGTGTGGATTCCACTGACACAGAATCTATACTGTCAGCAATACAGACATCTTCACTTGATAAGGACAGAGGCTGTGTGAATTGGGTAAGAAGAAGACTCTGGGAAGTACCAATAGAAGGAACAGGAAAAGTGGAAGAAGATGCATCAATAATAGTGCCAAACTCATTAAACTGTGACATTATGACACCATGTGAACTTGTATTGTTTGTGTCAAATTCGATGCACAATGAAAGCTTCGTAAAATCACACTCAATACACTTCAATTGCATATAAAATTGGAAGCTACTCTCATCATCTATATTCACAGGAGGAAGAATGGACCCAACAGCATATGAAACACGAAAACGTTCCTTGCAAATTACACATATCAGATGCAACATTAAATCTTGGAATGAGCTGTTATTTGGAATTGGGACTCCAATTGTGTACTTAGAAATAAAAATATTATTAGGAGACCAGTTTCCATCAACATGAACCATTATCCACATCTGGTCTGCCATCAATCATTTCCTATGTCGACGTCTACTTATTTTTTGTATTCTTTTAGAGTCATATACAAACCGTCAGAAGACTCCAAATACACTCAATTAACAAAACAGCAGAACATATTCAAAGATGTATGAGAATTATGATTGTAAAATATAAAATGTAATGCAGAAACTAGAATCATAAATCGTAGAGAGTTATGAGAATTCATAAAATCGAAGGTTATGAGAAGAAACTGACATACTGCAATGGCTATGGCGAATGAGAACTCCAAATTATGAACAGTAAAATCGAAGATCATAGGAGATTGAAAAGCGAATTGAAATTGACACAATAAAGTCGTAGATGATGGGGAATTGAAAAGCGAAATAGAAGAATCAAGAGTGTGTCGCAAGCAACTAAGCAGCGAAGAAGAGTTGCTGCTCGGCAGTTGGTACGAAAGAGACGAAGGAAAAAGGCAGAGAGGAAGGATTGCTGAACCGAAGAAAAGAAGAAACGGAGGATTTCAAACTACCGTTTAAGAGGACGGTAATTACTCCTATTTTGGGTATATAATCAATGGACTCTTACATTAGGGTTAAGCTTAATGTTTTCCTATTTAGGAGGTTTTCTTTTAGAAGAAACTAGAAAAAACTGGAAAAAACTGGAAGAAACTGGAAAGAACTGGAAAAACAGGAAGAAACAGGAAAAAATTGGAAGAAACTGGAAAGAACTGGAAGGAACTCAAAGAAACTGGAAGCTAAGAATTCAAGCTTTAAAGAACAGGCCCTTATATGAGTGTATATGATATGTAAAAAATCATAGAAATATAAATGTGAATAGTTGACTAGTCGATTAAAGTTATTTTTTAACTATTAATTAAACATTTTAAACCATACTATAAACTTTAAAAAACCTAAGAATATAAACAACAATAACTAATCCTAATACAGAATTATATTAACATTAAATAATGATACGAGTAATTTACACATTTTCGTAAAAACCTTTGATGTTATAATGGAAATGAAAGTACTATACCAAAATATGCAAATTCTCTATATATTTACATACGATGTCTATGGAAGTATTTGGAATCTTCTAGATTTTTGTTGGACACTCGACACATAATTTTTTGTAAAGTGAACCGAACGGAACACTAACCTTCCGTTTGATTTTTGTTTTGTATAAAAATCAAACGAAAAAACCAAACTCAAACCTACGTATTGTTATTCCTTCATCGCGTTTGTATTTTTACAATTTTTCAATGCTTATAAATTTTTATTTTTAAAAACTGAAAAAACCAAAAAAACCGAAATAAAAATTGCATAAAGCCGAACTGAATAACCAATGGTTTACATATTTTTTAAGCAAAATTTAACCAAACCAAACCGCCAAAACCGAACACACCCCTAGTAATTACACACACGCGCGCGCACGCGCACACACATACATATATACTTACATATATACATATTTTATGGGTGGGCTATTATTCCTAATTGGATTAAGGAAATCCGTCTACAGTTAGAAGTTGGAAACGCACATATTTCTTTATTTATTATAAGGAATTTTTTTTAGCAATACTACGAATATTCTCCGATTTTACATAAAACTCAGAAAATTAATTAATTACACCATTCTTCCTACAATTGATCTATTTTTACAAAAAACACTCCACCCACTAGCTCACTTGCACAATCATATTGTGTAATATATACATTAATATTTAAAGTGATAACTTGGAAAACAAATCAATGTTTTAGGGGATGTATTCAATTGGGATTTTATTGGATTTTTTTAGATTTTAAAAAGTTAATGGATTTGAAAAAATTGTAGAATTCATGTAGAGTTTGATTGATTTTTTGTAATATCCATGTAGAGTTTGAGAATTTTATAGAGTCCATGTAGAGTTTGTAAAATATGTGTGTAGAATTTTTGCAAAAATAACTTCAAGGACATAATGAGTAGACAGAGGTGGACAGATCACCTTCTTATCACCTTCTCCGCACAAATCACAAAGTTTGTAAACCAAAAAATAGCAGAGAACGGAGGACAGAAAACGAACGAACAGAGCAGCGGATCGGGCCAAGGACGTCATCCGGACAGAGGTAGACAGATCAGTGGCCGATGATCGGAGCAACGATCGAATAGACGAGTCACAATCGTACTCGCTATCGGAAGATGAACAGTGAGATGATCTGGATCCAGATCCGGGAGACTAGCCAGACGAACAGTGGAAGTAAAAACTATGTGTATGTGCGAAAATGGAAGTCCATAGAAATCTGGGATTGTGAGAAGAGATTTTATAAGAGTGAAATGTAAGAATTTTTTGAGAGAAAATCCAATTAAATCCATAGAGTTTTAAAACTCATAGATTTTTGAATATCTCAAAATTTTTAAAGACTTTTGAAAATCTAAATTGAATACTTCAATATTTTTAAAGACTTTGAAAAATCCTTATTGAATACCTCAAGATTTTTAAATATTTTTAAAAATCCAGATTGAATACATTCAGATTTAGTTTTAATACAAAAAACTACTTATTCTTTATTCAACTCAAATATCAATCTCCTACTTTATAGGTTTGTTCTTTTAGATTGGAAAAGTTAATTTTCAACTTTTTATAATTCCTTCTAAGTGTTTCCAACTACTTAAAGTTTCTTTACTTTATTATCTTTGCATTCTTGGGGCACTCAAGTCATGAGTTTCGCAACTCAAATTTGCACGTGGAATATATCGTTTAATTCGTCTCATTGAGACCTTTAATTTAATTCGAGTATAAATTTGACCATAAAAAGTTAATTTTGAAAGTCACTTATTTTTAGTTTGTCGTTCTAATTTTTATTTAATCCAATTATGTCCTTTATTACACCAATGTTTTTATTGAATAAAATATTTTATTCTATTTTACAACTTTTTTGTTTCAAAAATAAATATTTATATCCCTTTCGTTATTTTAAAACTACACATTTATTTATTTTGACCGAATATCATTTGTAAAACACATGCTCCGAACCAAAATGTAATGCCCGATCCCTCGTAACCCGAACCAACAAGTTAGTGGATCGACTTGGTACTTATTTGGCATTCACATGTACAATATTTCTAAAAAAATTAAAATAAAACATCAATTCACATTTATTTAAAAACAAATAATAACTAATCGGAATAAATAAAACAAACGTTGCGGAAGCCTGAAAAAAACAATCAACATCTTGTACTTTAAGTAACAAACACAACAAATATTTAAGTTACACAAACATCTTCGGGCCATCCACCAGTGTCATGCTCCATGACTGTCCTCCAGGTTGCTCGTCCAATCCTTGATCCCTGCTTGCACGTAGCATTGAGCGTGGAAGTAACTAATGTCGGAACAAATTCCTAGACTAGCATACATCAATACATAATCACAAAATATCTAAAGAATTAGCAAATATCATTATTCAACCGTATGATTAATCATCCTTTTATTCATTTCAGATCTTGCACATATTTCCCTTCACTTGCCTACTAGGCTTAAACCATATCGTTACTACGGGAGTCGTGAAATCCAGGCTCTCACTTAAACCCAAACTCAAACTCTAAAGTTCTCATAATGGAGGGGATTGAGGTCACCATTGGCTCTCACCAGGGGTCACTAATCTCCGTACGTACGTTGTTAAACCTCGGGACCATCAGGTGTGCGACGACACCAGTATGACTTTTTTTCTGATCTTAATCCTATTGGTGATTCCAATACTCAGATCTACCTAGATCTACTAGGTTGCATATTTCACAATTCTTATTCAATACACAATATCACCTAAGTCTTTATAACATACTTTGACTGAATTCCATCTTGCAATTAAAACCGTATCGAAGTTAACCACTTAAGCAACAATATCCAACAGAACAGACAAAAGCTACAACAACATTCTCCATCGCAGCACAACTTCACTTGTGGCAGCTTAGTGCAGCAACCTCCTTCAGCACTCCAGCAGACACCGGCTGTAACACACAAACCCACGTAACCCGAAACAACGAGTTAGCGCATCGAGTTGTTACGAATTTGGTATTCACATGCACAATATTTTTAACAAAATAAATGTTGCAGAAGCCTTCGAAAACAACATTTAACATTCTTGTAATTTCACTAACATTTAAACATTCTTTTAAAAACAATTGAGCGTGGAAGTATCTAAAGCTAAAACTAACTCATAAACTAGTACCCATTAAGGTAAAATCAAACAATATCATCAGAAGAATCCGAAAATATCATTATCTGACTGTACCACTAATTATCCTTTATAATTATGTTTAGTTCCTACGTACGCATACTTACTCTATCTGCGTGCCAAATATAATCGAATTCATACTTACGGGAGTCATGGAATCCAAGCTCTCTCCCAAACCCACACTCAAGCTCCGAATTCTCACAATGGAGGGGTTGAGGCCCCTAGTGGCTCTTGCCAGGGGTCATTGACCACCGTGCGCACGTTTTTAATCCTTGAGACCACCAAGTGTACGACGTCACCTGCATGACCTTATTTTCTAATCTCAATTATTTTTATGATTTCTAATACTCAATTCTACTAAAATCCGCCTATATCTACTCAGTAGCCTATTTCATGATTTTGATTCAACTGATATTTATCACCAATTCATTAATCAATATATTTAGTTTAATTCATGATTTCTAATTAGTTAACTAAGTCAAATGTATAAAGATTAAAAAAGAACTAGATTGCAATCAATCTAGCACATGGGGTCAATTTATGAATTTTTGGAAATAAAGTTTTAACTCTCCAATTGATATGCTGAGTCTTTCGGTACATGGGGAAGAGGGACGATCCCTTTGAGTACTAAGCTAATATACTTTTCTCTACTCTTGCAAACTAAGTTACTCAGTACTTGTTCGATACTCTTCTACCTAGTCTCCTAGGTCTTGGGTTTTAAACCCCATCATTGTTGCTTTCATTGAGAGTTTCGAACACATCAAGCATGCTCCGAAAATGGTTGGATCGAGAAGAGTCACCAAGTCATCCACTGCCGCCAACGGTGGTGGCATCAAGATGACTGTGACGGCACCGACTAATATGTGCCAAGATGACCTAGACAACAGCCTAAATGATGTCACTAGCCAGCCTAAATGACCTCATCGCATCCCATAGCAGCAGATGACAGATGAAGAGGGCCTCCGACAGCCCATTTAGCAAGTATCGGCCTTGGGAGCCGGTATGATGGCCCCACAGCCTGGGGGAATGATCCTTGGAGGAGGGATGATGTTTCTCGGGGATTTCAGCTCACCGCTCTTCCAGCTCGATGAGACATCTGGTGTCAGAACCCCTATCTTGGATCCAAACAGTTTTTGGGCTATGATGAAGGCCATGATGGTGAACGAGTCCATGACGCATTTTAAGGCGCAGATCTCTATGAGGGGTGTTAGGAGGATCTGTAGAACATCGCAGAAAATGCTGAGCTGTTCACTCACCATCTGAAGGAGCTGATGGCGGATTCGTGCATGGGTCAAACAACAGATGGGCGCGATGATCAGAAAGTAGGCCGATCCCAGAAAAAGGACAACGATAAAGCCTCGGAGGAGCCGGTGGCGAGGAAGAAAGTGAGTCACCGAGGCAAGGATGAAGTTAGAAGGCGCCGCGAACCCTTAAGGAAGGGCAAAGCGAGAGTGAAACACACATATCCGTGTTCAGCCGGATGCGTGTGGCTGCAAAATATTGGCTGCATGGTCGAAGGAACACCATTGCCCATGACGGGTGCGCAAGGTAAGGATGCCTTGTGAAGAACGTTACGAGCGTCACCGGGACACGTAGCCTAAAAGGTTCGTTCCTTGGGCTGAACGGCTTATCCATGATCTCTTCCTTAGGTTGCCGCAGGGGGGACTTGAAAGGGCAAGCAGGGGTGGGGGGGGGGTGCGTCCTGAGGGACGAATGCATCGAGTTCCTCCTGAAGATGCATTGGAGAGAAGGAACGATCATGGATACACTCTAGAGCCCACTTTCAAACTCCGCTCTCCGTTCTCTAAGAGAATGCTGAGCGTTCCCCTATTGGGTAATTTTCTAAATGCCGCCCATACGTAGGTATAATGAAATGACAAACCCGCAGGAATATTTCAAACAATACCAGACCCTCATGAATGTCATTTCGTTCTCTGAGGAGGTCCTCTGCAGATCCTTTCCGGAAACCCCAAACAGGCTAGCGTCGAAAGGGTTCAATGAACTGCTAGAAGGCAGGAGTAATTCATGGGAAGATTTGTCCTGAAGGTTCGTGATGTACTTCGCCACCAACGGAAGAAAGAAGTTGCATTTCTCTCACCTCCTTTCGGTCAGGCAGAGGCCGGACGAACCATTGAGCGACTTCCTCACGAGGTGGAAGTTGGAGACCACTAAGGTTTATGGGGTGGATGATAAGGCGAAGCTGTCTACTTTCCACCTGGTCCTACGATGGGGTGATTTCTCTAAGCGTTTGGCACTGGAAAAGCCAAAGGAATACTCCGTGGGAATGACTATGGCTATGGCCGAGGACGAAGCTGAAGCAGAGGAGCTTGAGGCAAACAAGAAGAGAGAAGAAGAAGGTGGGTTGGGAGCTCAGGTTGTTTTGGCAAGGCCTAGGCCAAAGAAGAACACGGAGGAGCAATCGCCTACATCATCCGGCCATCGCTACAAGAAGGGCAGGGACCAGCAAAACCAGCAGCCTCAAGGGAGAGATATTTACGAAGAAATGGGCTACGGAGAGAGGAAGCCCTACCCGTCCTACCCTCCTCACAGTCCCAAACTCATGTTACTGAAGGAACACACACCTTTGACGCATCCCATCAGCATGATCCTGGACTATGTTGAGCACCAGGGTCGGGTGGAGTACGACCCAAGGTTTGATCTAGTCTATGTTGTGGAAAATGGCCCCTATTGTAGATTCCACTGGGCAGGCAGCCACGACAGTGATGAGTGTAAGGTTCTCAAGAAGAGGAACACTTGGCAAAAGGACGACGGAAAGAAACCAGCAGACCATAGTGGGAAGAAGGCGGTAGAGGCTCCGCAGAAGAGGAGGAAATAAATCAGCCCCCCGAGTGACGAGGAGGTGGAGGCTGCGCCCCAACAAAAGAGGGTGAAAGAGAATCGAATGATCTATGGCGGAAACACCGGAGGTGACTCTGCAAAACAGAGAAAAAAGTGGGTACACTCAACCTACGTGTGCAATGTCTGCAGTGCGCCCGCACCATCGAAGATGGTAAGGTAACATCCAGTTCTATTCAGCCCCAAGGACGCACTGATAATCCCCTCTCCCGCACAAAGATGCTTTGGTTTTCAGGTTTGAAATCAACGACATAGTGATCCACTGGTCTAATGTTAAAACTGATACCGAACCATCCCAAACCATACTTAATCGATATTTAACGATCGGGATCGGTACAAAGTAAAATCTCAATACCGAACTGTAGCATGCTCACCCCTACACCAGGCAAGCCGCGCTAGCCCTAGACCTAGTTTATTCTAAGAAAAATACTCCATCCGTCCGTAAATAATCTTCATGTTTCTCTTTTTTTCTCGTCCATAAATAATCTTCCCATTTCTAATTTTAACCTCAATTCTTCCAAAAATACCCTTCTCATTAAATAACCTCTTTCTTTCTTTTTTTCCTTTCCTCCCTATTCTTCTTTTCTTTCTTTTTCTTTCCTCCTCCACTTCTCCACCTTTTTTCACTGACTAATCTCCCCCATCTCATCGTTCGTTTCTTCCATCCATTTTCATCCTCCTCCTTTCTCAGACCTTCTCTTCTCATCTCTCTCTCTCCTTTGTTTTTTGCTTTTCTTCCTTCTCTTCTCCTTTCTCTCTCCCCTCCGTCTTTCTTCCCTCCTCCTTTCTTCTCCGTCTTTCTACTAGATCGGGGCTATGGCGGCGATGGTGGCAGCTAACGTGATGGTGAGTGTAGATCTATACTACTTCTCATTATTGTTAGTCGGTTTAGACGTTGTGCCCACGCCTTAGAGGGGGGGGTGAATAAGGCGTGGGCACAACGTCTAAACTGACTAACAATTGGTATCAGAGCGGTTTCGTAGTTGAAAGTGCTTAACCGCATCTACGATAAAGATCCACTTGTTGTGTCCCTTTTTTAATTTGAATTTTTAAATCTCAAAATTTTATTTTCCCTAATTTTTTAAAATTCAAATTTATTAAAAAATGGCTCAAATGGATTCCCAAAAAATTCACCGCCCTCCGTTTTTCAATGGCCAAAACTATTCCTGTTGGAAAATGCGGATAGAATATTTTATTCAATCAATTGATTTTGATTTATGGTTGAATATACTTCACGGGCCATTTGTGCCGAGTAATGGTGATTTTGCAGGTTTGTCTTCGGAAGACAAGAGAAAGTTATCAATGAATGCAAAAGCAATTAACATTTTGCATTGCTCTCTTGGTCCCGACGAATTCGCACGTGTTTGCTCTTGCAAAACGGCTAAAGAGGTGTGGGATCTACTCCAAGCTACACATGAAGGAGACACCTCAACAAAACAAACCATGCTAGCCCTCGGGAATTCGGAAAACGAATCTTTCAAGAAAGGGTCATGTGAGACAATCCAAGACATGAACAAGAGGTTCAACAAGATTGTCAACAAATTGAGTAAGTTGGGTAAGACGTATACTACTTCCGAGCTTAATACGAAAATTCTATTTTCTTTACCTAAAGAATGGCATAGTAGTATAGTGGATTTATTACCCAAATTTGATAAGGCCGAAACCGCCCACATTTGGTCTTCCTTGTATTCTCACGAACTTTTGTTGAGAAAGATCAAAGAGGAAGAAATGCGTGAAAATCCCAAGCTTACCAACGCCTTCAAAGCTTCCAAAGACTCGTCAAGTGAAGAATCAAGCGAGTCAAGTGATTCAAATGACTCAAGCTCCTCGGAAGAGTCAAATGACGAGGAAGATGAAGAGAAGGCGATGAGAATGAAATATACG